TGGGTGATGTAGAACTGAGTGATGTAGAACTGAGTGATGTAGAGCTGGGTGATGTAGAGCTGGGTGATGTAGAGCTGGGTGATGTAGAGCTGGGTGATGTAGAGCTGGGGGATGTAGAGCTGGGTGATGTTCTCTAACTTCCTGGTTTTAGTCAGAGCTCCAGCAGCAGTGCTCTGGATCAGCTGCAGCTGGTGAATTGATTTTCATTCAGACCTCTGAAGACGCTGTTGCAGCAATCAATGCGACTAATGATAAACGCTTCGATAAGTTTCTCTAGATCTCGCTGAGACATAAGTCCTCTAATTAACTTTTACCTGTTCTTGACGATCCAGTAATTTTCTTCAGAAAGAAGATTTTGCGCTGTGCCGTAACCCACCACCAGCACGCCGTGGTCCAGATCCTCACTGCTGCAATCTGGTTCATAGTAGATGCCTAAAACACACATCCAGGCCTTTTACTATGGGCACTCTTCATGTTCACTCAGTAGTGAACACATTGTAGGAGATCGGACATGTTTCCATCGTCTGCCTCATACGGGCAACAGCAGCCATTTTCTTAATGTGTCTTTCTCTTGCACTTTGGTTAAGAGTGTCCATACACGCTGATCTCAAAGCCGTGGTTGATCTATGCTTTGCCACTGCTGGTAGACATGTATCTACTTGCATTTATCTATTGCATACCAAGATGGCGGTGGATCACTTCTGGTTCAGACTTGTGGGAAATATGTATTGCATGTTTAACATTGACAGCCTCTGTTAAAACAAATATTTATATTTTATAGATCAACACCTACCTGACTGGTAAAACTGGAAAGATATATGACCAGCGTCAATGGCAACGGAAACTGGCCCCACAGAGCCCACGGCCTCCATCAGAGATTCCTCGCTGCCACTGACAACGTTATCGTATCCTGTCAGGTTGATGGCGCTGTAACTTGGATCATAGCTGCATGGCATGTCCTAAAATTAGCAAACAGAAAAAACAGGTGACTTGAGTTGAAGCACAGAATCAGTTTGGAGGCTTTAATCGTAACTTTTCCAACTCACCTCTCCCACGTACGGGTAGGAAGACTCTGAGTCCAGACCTCCGTGGTCCATAACGTACTGAAAGGCATTGTTCATCCACCCACCGTTGCAGCCATAGTTTCCCTCAGGTCCAGAACAATCCACCAGGTTCTGCTCACTCAGAGACACAAGTCTGCTGGTCATTCTGTAGAGCTGGCCCTCCATGGACCCGGTGGCACTGAAAGCCCAGCAGGAGCCACACTGACCCTGAGGACAGCACAAAGCTGGACTGAGCAAATGCAACTTTGACAGTTTACTCCATCTTATTTACAATAATAATAATAGTAAAAAAAACCTTTTCTAACCAACTTAAACGGATGGTATTCTGTGTTTTCCAGGCACAAAGTGCCTCTTTATAGCATAATCAAGTAACTATGTTACCTTTGGTTGTTATAAAAATGCTGTATATATCAAATATGACTTAAAAGACATTCAACTTCCTAATTTAGCATCTTGTAATTGGGCCTCCGTCTCTTTAAGAAGCTCCTGCTCTTTCTGAAGCTCTGCCTTCAGGAAGTCATCACAACACAGCTCCTCTATTAACCCTTTACCAACATTTTTAATGTAGCTCCTGTAATGAGCTCAGCCGGTGTTTGCTAATTGCAGCTGGCTAGTCTGAAGGAGCTGAGTGGGGGAGGAGCTGCGCCTAGAAGGCGGAGCTAGGTCCACCAAGGCGTTTTGTACAGCTGAATGGAGATTAAAGGATTTCTCAAACATAAATGAAAGAATAAAAGCAACACTTCATGTCTGTTTTTGATTATTATAACATGATGGAAAGCTCATTAAAGGGACATTTTACTGACCCTTTAAATAATTAATTTAGCTGTATTTTTGGATAACTAGAGTCGTCAACTTGAATCCAAATCCATTTCAATCTGTGATTGAATTGAAGAGACTTTTTTGTACCTTTAGATGACGTGTGTTGTGAATTGGCGCTATATAGATAAAACTAAATTGAATCTAAGCTTTTCCATTGTAGCACTTTGTCTCTGGAAGGTTAGCCTCCAGAAAGAGCTCATCTTGATTTTCGGCTCTTTGCATTCACTGATATTGTGCTGAATTTGCTGTAACCTCCACTCTCGACACATGGCAGCAATCTGAAATGATTTCCACTCTCCTTCTTGTGATCATGTGAAACAGTTTCCCTTTACATTGACTGTATATGATGTTGTTTACTGTGTTCTAGTCTTCGTTAGAGCTGGTTGAACTGGTTTTCAGCTTACTGATGATGTATGTCAATGGGGGAAGGGGAGAAAAGCATCACAATGTGATGAAGGAGGAGGAATTCATGACTCAACTTGTGTGTTTTCTGGTGTGAAAAGCAGAAAATCCTGTTACCTGGTCCTTGACAGGTGTGACGTAGCCGCTCTCCCTCCAGTCCACAGATGAAGGGACATTCAGGAAGTTGGGCTTTGTGAACAACAACCTCTTGACCTTCTTCTCTGCTCTGGGTTTGTAGCCGTTCATCATCTGCCTGAACTCCTCGTTAGTCTGTGAAGAACATTTCATCAGATCAGTTAAATGTCTCATTAATTATCTTTACATAATAACAGTTTTATTCTGGAGTTCCTCAAAGATGTGTGCTTGGATCACTGTTCATTAATTTGTTTGTTACAAATGGCTCATAATTGGCCATTTGTGACACTTTTAGAATTTTAGAAAATCAGATGTATTGCTTGTGTCAATGCTTAATTTGGTTACATCTGGAATGTTTGCTTTGTTTTTTGATTATGTTGAAAATGAAACTTTACCAAGTCCCCAAAGTGGTTCATCCCCAGGGTGAAGGAATGTTTCCCCATGGAGTGCTCCAGGTTGTGCAGCTCGATCTTCCTCAGGTTTTTCTTCCACACCGTTCGCCTCCAGCCCTCCTCTCTCTGCAGAAAGGGAAAATCTAATTTAAACAGCAAGTTTTAATCCAAAATAAACTGTCTGATGTTTCCATGAAAACCATACATTCAGGACCTGCAGGAGGATCTTGTTTAGAAATTCTGTCAACATTGTAAAAAGATAGATAAGGCATCAGTAAATTGGTTTTTCTTCTTTAATGTGGTCATATCACTTCAAAAACAAAATCTTACCAAATATTTTTGGTCAATTTTCTAGTGCAAATATCTTAAAACAATTTAAATAAGACAAAGCTAACATGCTAGTTACTTGTAACTTTTCAGCAAACTATAGGATCTTGTTTAAAGCAAAGAATTCCTTAAAATTGGTAAAGAAGTGCTGGTTCCATTGGCAGATTATTTCACTTATACCAAGACAACTTATTATAAGTGAAATAATCTGCTAATGGGTCTATTTTTTCATCTATATTGAGGATTTATCTACTTGAAACAAGATCCTAATTTTTGCAGAAAAGTTACTTGTAAGTTAATTTTTTCTTATTTCAAGTGTACTAAGGTATTTACATTAGAAAAAAGACCAAAATGCTTGGTAAGATTTTATGTTTTTGCAGTGTAGTCTGTGCAACTTCTAGAGTGCCAGCATGATTCAGCTTTACATAAATGTCTTAATTGTTTTGTCTGAATGGCATAAGTTTAATTTGTTTATTCCAAATTTCTCTTGAAACAGCATGCTTCCTATCAATATCTTTAATTAAATGCACACACAGTAAAATAAGAAATGGCTGAATTATCAAACCTCTAGTTCTCTCTGATTGAATATTTAAGTTCTAGATATAGAAAAGAAAACCTCGCTGGGTTGAAATTGTCGAAGAAGTCAATAAATCTGTTGGATCACCTGATTGTAGGTTTTATTGTAGCGGTTCTTCCACAGCTCCCAGTGCTGATCCAGCGTTGGGTCGGAGGTTATGGCCGACAGGACTGCGTTCAGGCACAGCATCAAAACGAGCAGAGGCAACATGGCGCGGCTTCCTGTCAGGAAAATAACAAAAAAAAACATGAGGTCACACATAAAATGTTCTGGTTTCTCCACTTTGGGGTTAATTCAACAATTCCTGCAGGCAAAATGTAAAATCCTTCTCAAAAAAAAAAAAAAGAAAGAAACAGCAGAAGATGATCCTTGGAGTTTCATATTTTTTAAAATTAATTTACTTTTATATTTCCTGCAGAACTAAAAAGTTGTACCTTATGTACAGCTATTCAAATATATTAGTATAATGTTCAAAAATTTTTATACAGCTGTTTTTTCTCTCTTATTCAACTTGGCCAGATGTGATTTCTAGGATTTATTGTCTGAAAATAAAGTATAAATCATTAATTATTTGGATCAGGCGACAGCTCTCTCACTCGTGTCTTATTTTGTTTTTTTCTGCATAATAGGTGTCTATAAATTGAGATTTAGCCATCTCAAACCGTAGCAAAGCATATTATTTTCACATTAGTTTGTTTTTGTTTAATTTGAGAAATGTTTCATCTATAAATCTGTAGCATCTAAAAAAACTGTGCCAGGCATTTTAGTTTTTAATTTTATGGTATCGGATCTGCCTGTCGTTGGTCTCGTATGATTACGTCTAATTATTTACCATCTTGAAACAGTTTCTGTTGTGTTTGCACTGGAAATGCAGTGGATTTATGTAAAATTTCTCAAACCAGATAAACTTCAGTACATTCAGAACAGTGAAGCCCAAACTGAGGATGCAACAGACTAAATACTTCAGCAAAAAGCTGAAAACATTCCTTTTTAAAAATGTTTACAACATTTAATACACTTTTGATCCTGGTGTTTTTATTTTATTCTGTTTCTGTCATTAATTTTGTTGTTTTTATTCTGTAGTATTTATATTTAAAGTACATTAAAAATCTAAATTATTACTAAATTAAAAAGGTTTATTTCACAAAAAATGAATAAAATGTGGATAAATCATTTTAAAAATAAATGAAACTAACTTCATATGTTATTGTAGAAGTTTTAAAAGGAGTGTAAAAGTGTTTGTGATTTCAGTTGTATTAAATAAAACCCAAACATTGCACCTGATGAAGGGAATGAGTTTCTTAGATTTAGTGAGAGAAAGATCAGCGGTGGAAGAAGAAACCCAACCTGGGAGGAATTTCATGTGAATAAACCAGTTAAAACAACAGATTCATATCACTGCTCACTCTCTGGAAAACGGTGCAAATCGTTCCTTCACATAAACAGGTACAGATGTCTGAAGCCACACACACCTGGTCAAATGTCAAAACTTACTTTGCTGCTGAAGATGATGAAGTGACGAAGAGGCTGCTGTCTTGTAAAAAGTCCTGAGATAAACGTGTCGAGGCTTTTTATTCTTTTCCCGGTGATTCCAGGTGATAAGGAAGAACGTAACGCCTCCGTCTGAAGAGGCGCTGAAAGACGGAAGTATGAAAACCAGAGGCAGCCAATGGTATGAGGCCTGGGGCAGAACGTTCCTCATACATACAGGTAAATGTATGAGGAACATACATTTACATTCAGTTAAACACTGACGCCATACAGTGACTCAAAACGACCAAATGAGAATGTTTCTGTTTCACTTTACTGAATAAATGAACAGGATGTGGGAATACGCGCTCATTTTAAACATTTTAAATAAATTTTTCCTCATTTGTTCTTTCATAAAGGTTTCTTTAAATGGGAATGAAAACATTTTTATTTCCACTTTGGTATATATGTTGATGGAGAATTCAAACCATTTTGGGGTTTAGTGAAATATTTTTATCTGACAGCGTTTTGCATTATTTACCTCATTTCTGAAACTAATTTGAAGAGAAATATATAAACAAAATGAGAAGCATTTTTCTTTAACTTAAACCTGGATGCTTAAACTCATCCAGGTTTAAGCATCCAGCGCTGCTACATTATACTACAAATTATGTAAAACATGTAATTTACAGTAACTTCTGTTACTGTGTCAGATTTAAGACCCAATTTCAACTGGGTGTGAAAGTTGAAGTATTTTCAGGTTAAGGATTAGAGAGTCCGTCTTTAAGGGAAAAACTTTTTCCAGGAAGCATACTCCACTTAGAGTCTCACCATATGTGTTGTTTTTATTACTTTTTATTTGTGTTTTATTATTCGAAGCACTTTGAACTGCTTGTTGTTGAAATGTGCTACAAATAAGATGAATTGATTGATATAACAAGGGTTTCAGATCTTTTATTGATTACTGCAAAAGCTGAAAATGATCATAAAACCAGCAAGTGTTAGTAAGTCAGTAAGCAGCAGAACTATGCAGCTTATGGGTTACATATACATGAACAAGTTTACATAAATCATCTACTGTTAATAAGAAAGCACAACTTTGAGACTTTATTTTCATTCTTTTGCCCTCAGGAGTAAAAGGAAATGTTGTTTAGAGGATGACAGGAAAACTGGCATCTGTTGCAATGCCACAGTTGTTATTCCTGTCTTTAGCCATGTGGATGTAGCCGTTGTTGCCCCAGTTTTCACTCCAGCTGCAAAGAAAAAAATCCATATCTGAATGACTTCTGGTGAAAATAAACAGTTGCTAAAGGAATAATACACCTTAAAATATGAGATTCAGAAATTAATCGTTAAAGGAAGTAATGTTATAGATGTTGCTGACCTGTTCTTCACGATCCAGTAATCCTGATCAGAGTAGCCGTAACCCACCAGCAGGACGCCGTGGTTCAGCCGCTCAGAGCTGCAGTTCTCTTCATAGTAGACGCCTAAAATACAGAGAGTCATGCTATAAAACCTGACAGTTAATGGGATCAGATTCAGAGGGAGCCTCGTGTTCACGTCCATCAGAAATCATGCATTTGTTTTTGAAATGACAGTGTCTTCAGTCAGAGGCTTCTACGGATTTGCTGTAACACAGACTGCTACAAGAGATCTTTCCTGCCAGCAGCTATCACTATTTACAAAAACTCTTTGAAGAATCTGAATTAATGTGATTTACAACAACATTTAATTTCCCTTTGGGATCAATAAAGTAATTTTGAGTTTGAATTGTAAAAGTGATGCATTGTAACTCTTACATTGTTACATTAATTATTATTATGAAACAATGTAAAGGCACTATACAGTAAATCAATCAGCTGAATCAGAGTAGATTTAGCCAACGTTGTGGACGCCACTGGATCAGAGATCTAGAGCAGAACTACCTGACTGGTAAAACTGGAAGGAATCATGACTGGCATCTATGGAAACAGAAATTGGCCCCATGGTGGCGACGGCCTCCATCAGGTCTTCCTCACTGCCACTGGGAATGGAAGCGTAGCCGTCGACGAAGATGGCGTTGTAGGACGCATTGTAGAAGCACTGCAGGTTGTCCTGAAGGTCAAAGAAGAGAAGTTAGAGTCATAAAACGTCAAGCAGGAGACAACATGATGCACAACTTCCTCCATATGATTTAGTATTAACGTACCTTTGCCTGGTACGGGTACGATTCTTCAGAGTCCAGACCACCGTTTTCATGAACATACTGAAACGCCATCTTAGCCCAACCACCGTTACAGCCCTTGTTGCCCAGATATCTAGAGCAGTCCATCAAGTTCTGTTCGCTCAGCGAAACCAGTCTGCGAGTCGCCCTGAACAGCTGGCCCTCTAGACAGCCAGTGGCGCTGAAGGCCCAACAGGAAGCACAACGGGCCTGAAGACAGCAGGAAAGAAGAGCCTGTCAGGGTCCAGAGCTGTGGATGTGTAACTACAAACCCACTGGCTGCAGGATGAACCCCTGCCTCCTGAGACACCCAAAAATGTAGCTTTTCCTTTTAAAGTATTTTACTGTGGACAATAGCTGTGTTTCCATTGACCACAGAACTGAGGAAATAGAAATTACGAAAGTAAATTTGCTTAATGGAGACACACCAATTTTGAAAAAAAATCACCTTTTTGGATAAAAAAATCTGTTCAAAGCACTTTAACTGCCTTGCTGCTGAAAATAATGCTATAAATAAACTTTCTTCTAAAAAGGTTTTTTTGCTAAAATGAGGTGGTTTCTCAGCCACATCAAATGTATTTTACAGAACTGCAATGGAATCACACAAGTCGTGATCAACAGCCGAATGTTGCTTCTGGCGGAAACGACGAAGAAGACGACAGGAAGTAGAAAGAGATTGATGGTTTGTTTTAGATTTTTTTGGTCAGTGTGCAGCTGGCTCCACTGTGGCTTATCATAGTTGTGTGTCATTCTAACGTGTTGAAACTGTTGCTCTTCTGCAAAATCATGGACTACAATTGCCCCAAATTCCCACTTATATAGCTGCGCACAAGTAGGCGGGGCCTGTCCCTCCAGCGGCTGAATAAGATGCCGACGTCTCCCTTCTGGCGGATGATAGATGATGAGCGCTAGCACCATGTCGGACTTAAAATATAATGTCATGTAGCTGTTTACATCTTTTGTTGACTTGGTTTTTTATTGCATGAACAAGCTTATTCACTCGTGACTTTAATATAATGATTTATTATTGCTGCCTTCAACTTGGGATTGTCATGACTGAAAAACTGGTATAACACTGATCTACAGTAAGCTGGTTGGTTTCAGCAAGTGTTGATACACGTTGAGGAGGTGGAGTGGAAAATATGTACACAGACAAGTCAGATGAATTTAGACAACTCACAACTTGCCAAGAAAAATGTTTATTTTAGAGAAAACAGATCATGTTACCTGGTCCTTGACGGGCGTTACGTATCCTTCTGTCCTCCAGTCCACAGACGCAGGGACGTTCAGGAAGCTGGACTTCTTGAAAAGGGTCCCAACCTGCAGCTCTGCTTTCGGTTTGTAGCCGTGCATAATCTGCCTGAACTCCTCCTTAGTCTGTTGGAAATGTTTTAGTGAGTAGAACAGACTACAAAAAAAATTAAAAATAAGTGTTTTAAGTAGCAAACCACTCCATTACTCTTGGAGTTCCTCAGGGTTGTGTGCTTGGACCCATAGTTTTGTGTTGCCTCACCATGTCTGCGAAGTGGTTCATGCCCTGCCGGTAGGAGTGTTTCCCCATGGAGTGCTCCAGGTTGTGCAGCTCGATCTTCTTCAGGTTCTTCTCCCACACCATCCGCCTCCAGCCTTCCTCTTTCTGCATGAACACAAACATTCAATCAGCTGTTTCTGGTCAAAAATTCACTTAAAGGGTCAAAATTAGAGAAATTCATAGAATGGACGATGCTATTGTAAGAGATTTTATTAAAATGGGAGGATTAGATTGGTCTCTCTAGCAGGACGGTATATGTTAACATCTGGATAAAATGTCAGACTTCAGGTCAAGCATTAAGTGCCTCTGTTGCATTTTATGTCAGTTTTGTTGTTGATCGGCTCTGTTTACCTGGTGGTAGGTTTTGTTGTACCGGTTCATCCACAGCTCCCAGTGCTGATCCAGCTGTGGGTCTCGACTCGGAGCTGACAGCACTTCACTCATGCAGAACGTCATAACAACTAAATGCAGCATTGTTCCCACTTTCAGCTGGAAGAAATAAATAAAAACACATCAAAAGAGCTGGATAAATATAGGATGTAGGACTTCTGGCAGCATAAGTAAATTATTAAGCTGTAAAATTATGATTCCACTCGTGAAGGTAAAATAAAGTATCCAAACCAGCCTGGCTTGTTAAACAGTGAATTAACTTCGATTAACCAGAAATTTCACCTGCAGAATCAATAAATCACTAAAACAGAACCAATCTGACAACATGAAGTTGGCAAAATATCTATTTCAATCAGAGAAAATGTACAAATGTTAACTTGTCTTTGTTTTTTATTTTTATTTTATAGATTGAACTCTACTAACAGATGATCACTGTATTGGTGTGAAGTAAAGCAGAAAAGGCTGAAATTTCCACATGTTGATGTATTTTTTAGATGAATCTTCTGCTAAATGATCAACGTTCACTAAAGGAATAATATGTTGTTGCCTTTTATGCAATAAAATGTACGGAAATGTAAAAGTATTATTACCTGAACACTTTTATGTTTTAGTTAGTGGAAACTTGGACAGGTTCCAGTTTTTGGATTTGTTACCTGAAAGAAAAAAAAGCCTCAAACTAAGTTATTTAATATAGAAGATCATAATTTCTTCAAGCTCAGACATGCAACTATATTCTTCTTTCAGTTCTAGATCACAGCAAACCACAATTTAATGCCAACAGTTTAATAAGTAATAAATATAACAATTTAAATTTAAAATAATTTTGGTTCTTTAGGAAAACTAAACCAGTTTTACTGATTTTAACTTGTTGCTTTCAAATCAAACATTTAAACCTATCAGGTTTTACAATTATTTACATTTAACCTCAAACTTATTCGTTAAATAAAGATAAAGCCAAAATGGAAACATTGGTAAAAGATGATCTCTGTGTATGTTTGTTGGGAAGGAAACCAAAAACTTGT